TCCCATCCTATCATTTTTTAAAAAAAGAATTCAAAACAAGCATTTTCCCACAGGAAGGATTCTTATAATTAATTCCAAAATCTTATTTCAAATCCATCTGGACTCTTAGTCCATTTGTAACTTTCCAAAATCAACATTCTAATCACCCTTTTGCTGTTTGTTCTAAAAAAATAATAATTTTTTAAAGTCCTTAAACTTGTATTTAAAACTACTTTCGCTAGGGATTGAAGGAAACTCATCCGGTGCTATAAAACCTGTCAGTCCAAAGGTTCCTAATATCTGAAAAGCAGCCAACAAGCAATTTCCAAAACTGATTAGAAAAGGAAGTATGCGGACTCCGTGCGCATAAAGGTGCCGACTGCAGTTTGGGCGAAAATGGCCTTCCCTCATCTCCCGGAGCTCTAAACCCACCAAAGACTGCTGTCTTGTGGACTCCCCACGAGGAACAACCGTTCTAATATCTTTAGCAATAATTAGTGTGGGTCCAGAGAATAATAGATGTACCATATAGGATATAATCTAGTCTTTCTAAGATTTGGGGATTACTGGAAATTTGGAAGAAAACCATCAGGAGTTATCTGTCAAGGCAAGAAGAATAGCTGATTTTTGACTACCTTTCTTTACTTCTATGTTGATATGGAAAGTAGCATAACAGCTACTTTGGTTCTGATTTCACGGAGTCAAAAAGAAGCAGTTGTTAAGTATGATAACTATTCTTTTGCCAAAATTATATTTTAAGTCTACATGTTTGGGAAGAAGTAAAAACTCTTCCTTCATCTCTGATATTCCTGTATCATCCTGTCTCCTCTCTCCAAATTTCTCAGGAGCAGTATACCTAGGTTTTATCTAATTTGATTGTCACTCAAGCCGTATATAAACTAGGCTGGGGAAGATAAACCTAAGATCACACACTAGTTCCCATAGCATGCTTAATTAGATATTGAATTTTCTGGAATTCATGTGATACATTGAATCCTAAGGTAGCCAGATTGGCTGGGTTCATACAACCCACTCAACCACTCAGAATCTAACCACAGCTAAAACTAACCAAGTTTAATATATAGCGTGAGTGCATTCACTAAGTAACTTATCCCACTGTGTTGTGCAAACACAGAGAGTTTCAAGCCCAGCTCTAACACATGGATTCTCTTTGTTTTGCATTTCTGAAGCAAATGGGCAGGTTTTTCACCCAGCAGCTGACAAAGACCAGTAACTTTGTGTGAGATGGGTGGCTATATAAATACGATAAATAAAATAAATCAATAAACTTCCAGACTTAAAACCTAGAAGATGCAATGGGAGAGGGGAAAATGACGGGGTGGGAATAGGAGAGGAAAGAAGCAAGCTTGGGCCTAAGTGGAAGGAGAAGCAATTTAAGCAAAGGAAAACTGAAATGTTCTGTGACCCTCAAAGATTTAAGGGGGTCTTTCTGTTGTCTCTGTTCCTCTGAAGGTATGGACACGCTGAATGGGGCTATAGAAAGTTTGACGGAGTCCTCTAACAAAGAAGACTGGATGCCTGTCACCATGAACGTTGCTGACGCTACTGTGACAGTCATCAGCGATGGAGTACGGTTCCTTAAAATTGTCTTATTTTAATACTAGGATTTGTAACTTGACCAAGAGCTTCATTTTTCTCCAAGATTTTTCTATTTAAGATTATTAGAGAAAAAAAGATAGGTCCGTATGTAGCTTCGGAACAGATTTGGTGGTAATTTATGATTTGTACTGTGTTTTCAAGGCATCCCTTTTGCCATATGTTACTATTGTCACTTACAAAAATAACCAAACTGTCAATTTAATTAGCATTACATGAAAACCAGTGAGGCTTAAAGCTATAATTATCTCAGATTTTGGGGAGAAAATTAAATGACTTGCATCGATCCTGCCTACAGTCTAATTAACTATAAAGTTAATTAAGTTTAACTAGAAGATTAAGCCAGGGAATACGGCATGCAGAGTATATGCTCTGCCTCTTAGCTACATGAATACAGAAGAACTAAGTAACTAACTTTGTACTCTAGGACAGTGTTTCTCAACCTTGGCCATTTTAAGATGTGTGGACTTCAACTCCCAGAATTCCCCAGCCAGCATGCTGGCTGGGGAATTCTGGGA